AGCAGGTGACAGCAGAGGAACTGGGACTCAGGCCCCTGCTCCCCCAGTCCTGTTAGGGGTGAGTTGTTGTGTCCCCAGAGACTCATGGAGGAACAGAGACTTGCCTCCACATGAAGGAAAATGGAGTGAGTGATAGCTCCTTGCTCCTCCATCCACTTTTGTCCCAGAGGGCCAGGATCAGACACATCAATCAAAATATAATGGGTAGCCAACACTCGATTCCCTTCTCCCCCGCCCATGCCCCAAGATCTCCCAGCCTGCCCCATGACCACGCTCATTAACCCTCTGCAAGGAGAGGCTACGAGGCAATATGAGTGTATTGATGTTACTACTGCAGTGTACTCCGCAGTCAAGACCATCTGGTTACCCATTGCAGCAGGTTAACACACAATCTAGGTGCGACTGGAAGTCTACTGTGGAACCGGTAATTTTCCCTCAGGGGGAACTTTTCTGTGGCCAGTATATAATGGGGTGGTTGTTGCAGACAGTCATACGTGTGCCATCTCTCTCTCTGTTCCAGGCCTCTTTCTCTATTCTGCAGCTGGTCAGAATGTCACAGTGATGTTCTCCTCAGGGGCAGGGGTAGAAGTGACAGCCAGAGGAGGTTTCTTAAGCCCAACAGTCCTGCTGCCAGAAAAATTCATGAACCAGACCCGGGGCCTCTTGGGGGTAATGAACGACAACCCAGGGGACGAGTACACCTTCAGAAATGGGACAACCATGCCGCTTGATGCCAGTCCACAGCAGCTGTTTGCATTTGGAGCTGACTGTAAGTGGGGGGTTTTCAGTCCTGTTACTCCATTCTCATTTCTCTGAATAATCACTTCAGAAAAAAATCAAAGCCAATTATTATTTGTAGAGAGTGAACAATGAGCTCTTCTCTGAAGTGCCCGTCAGGCAGAGGCGTGTGCCTCCTCCCATGCTTGGAACGGGCAGTCACACAGGCAGACCTGTAACCAGCACCACAGGGCCAAAGGCGTCGGATTTTGGCTATAAGAGAGAGCACATTCTTAATTGTGCTGTAGATAAATTTACACATATAACACATGCCTTTCTGTCTCCTTAGGGGCTGTTGGCAATGAAACTTCTCTCTTTACTTATGATACCACAGGCAGACCTGTAACCAGCACCACAGGGCCAAAGGCGTCGGATTTTGGCTATAAGAGAGAGCACATTCTTAATTGTGCTGTAGATAAATTTACACATATAACACATGCCTTTCTGTCTCCTTAGGGGCTGTTGGCAATGAAACTTCTCTCTTTACTTATGATACCCAGTTCTTACTGAACACCTTCTTCTATGGGCCAAAGCACAACTCTTCCTTCCTACCGATCAGGGCAGCACCAGGACAGAGGACACAGCATCCATTATCACTGCAGCTCCCCGCCACCATTCAGGATGTAGGGACCCCTGAAGATCTGGAGCAGCTGCATGTGAATTCCCGAGGATGAGGGGGCGGAAGGAAAGAGTCTCACCAGGAGGAACTATCCTCTATTGCACCAAGGTGCTTTGTGCACTGTGGGACCAGAGCTAGAAGTCAAATGCCTACTTTTTAGGAACCTGGCCCTCAGGGTAGAGGTCCAGATCCAGTGCTAGGTGTCTGGACATGTTGGGAGTTACTGCCTCAGAAGGGCAACCCAGAAAAAAGAGACCAAGCAGAGAGCTGCTCTACAGGTCCCTCTCCATCCTAGACACTCAGGTTGCTAAGGCCAGTACGCTGCTTCACTCTGGTAGCTCTATTCGACTTAAAATCTCCTGCCCTTTTTCCAGTTATGTTTAAATCACCACACAACTCGCTGTGGGATCAGCTTGTCAGGCAGACTCTGACAGGCATTCATAACATAGCTCTCTTCCCTTAGTGGTCTCTTGCGGCTGGCTGGATCACCCTACCAAGGGCAGAAAGGAAGGGACAAACTACCTGATGGGCTCAACTATCCGCTTCAGCTGTGATCAAGGGTACAGCCTGGCTGGGTCAGAAGAAAGAACCTGCCAGTTGACGGGGGCCTGGTCAGGGAATGCAGCCAGCTGTTTGCCAAGCACAGGTATGTTTTCTAAAGGGTCCCCAGCTGTGGGTACAAACTGTTCATGCAGGCATGGCCATCTCAGGAAAAAGCAGTGCCAAAAAACCACAGCAAGAGAAGTAGTGGTTGACAGAAGCTAGAAAACTAGAAAGCAGATGTACTGCAAAGACATAATTCAGAAGAGCTGTCAATTATCTCTATTATCAAATGTGTCTAATATTGCCAAGCATATATGCTGTGCATATGATCACCCTTGGGCCTGGTTCTTAACAAAGTGGCCTGTCACAAGAGCCTATGGCCCGAAGGAATTAAAGTCAAATGCCTCCTGAGTAAATGCTCTAAAATATGGTTTTAAACTCATTCTTACCACATTAATAACCATAGTGGAAAAAGCATTGTGCAATTTAAAAACTTTTACAGAAAGTGGAATTAAGATTCCACCCACATTTAATCATCAGCATGGCTTAATTTTTAGTTCCTTATTTTGTTACCTTAATAATCACGTAACAGGTTTTTTTAATTAAATATACCATGTGGATGCCGACACATCAACAGAGTTCTAGGTGCTTTCCAGACGTTATAATTATAATAGCCTCCTACGTTGAATCACTTATGTAAGAACTCTGAATCTGGGACTTCTGTTACCAAATAGAAAACAACTGAATATCTTTTTGCCACATGACCTTGGCAGTTTTTGTTCTTAGCATCAAATCAGAGTATCATAGTACTTAGGGCCGGAAGGGACCTAAACAGATCATCAGGTCCGACCCCCTGCCCTGGGCAGGAACAGGTGCTGGGATCACGTCACCGCAGCCAAATATCTGTCCAGTCTCCTCTTGAAGCTTGAAGGCCCCCAAGGTAGGAGAGAGTACCGCCTGCCTTGGGAGCCCAGTCCAAAGCCTGACAGCCCTAACTGTGAAGTAATGCCTCCTGATGTCCAGCCTGAACCGTCTCTCTAACAATTTGTGGCCGTTACTCCTAGTAACCCCCAGTGGTGCCCAGGGGAGCAGAGCTCCCCCGATTGCCGCTGGTCCCCCCTGGTGAGTTTGTAAACAGCCACCAGGTCCCCCCTCAGCCTTCTCTTGTGGAGGCTGAAAAGGTTCAGGCCCTTTAGCCTCTCTTCGTAAGGCCTGACCCACTGCCCCTAAACCATGCGAGTGGCCTCCTCTGGACCCTCTCCATGCTGGCCACATCCCTCCTGAAGTGCGGCGCCCAGAACTGGACACAGGACTCCAACTGCAGCCTGACCAGCACCGCATAGAGGGGAAGGATCACCTCCCTGGACCTGCTCGTGATGCATCTGTAGATGCACGACAAGGTGCGGCTAGCCTTACTGACCGCTTCCTTGCATTGGCGGCCCATGTTCATCCTGGAGTCAACAATGACTCCAAGATCCCTTTCTGCAACCGTGGTGACTCCCTAGATGCAGCACCTTGCACTTGTCTGTGTTGAACTCCATCCTATTCTCATCCGCCCACCTCTGCAACCTGTCTAGATCTAGCTGGATTCTGTCCCTCCCCTCCAGTGTGCCCACCTCGCCCCACAACTGTAGTAGCCACGCAACATAAAAATGAGGCAGCTTTGTATAACAAGCAGTCTGACTAGGCTTTTCTAATGTCACTTCAGCCACGCTACAAATGCTTCAGGATAGGAGCAGCAGGTGAAATCCTGTTGTAAGAATCAGCGGTGGTTCTGCCTCTTTCTCTTTCCACATACCTAGATGCAGCCTCCTCCATCCGTCTGCATGTTTTCAGAATATTCTTAGCCTTAGTCTCTCCTGCCACTTGCAACAGCTTCCCTGCTTCTCTGAATCTCACTTGCTCTCCTTTTTCAAAGCCACTTTAAAATATATTCACCCTCACTTGCTTGTGCCTCTTACAGCATAGCTACACTACTCCCAGACTGATTTGGGAGTGCTGCTATAATCACACACCCCACCTATGGTTCCTGCTCTGCCTAACCACATACTGGAAAAGCTACCAGAGCTACTGGTTGCATGGGCCCAGGCTCATGTTCTCAGGCTTTCCATCTCAGGTTTGCTTGCGGGCCTGTGCCCAGCCACCCTCTAACAGCAGCAGCATCATATTCTCAGAGCATGAGTGTGTGGGTCTCCCTAGTGCAGCTGGAAGCAGTGTAGACATACCCTCAGTGTCCAAGCAGGACCGTGTAGGCAGCCCCTCTACCCATTCATGAGTGCACTGGGTATCAGCTCATCAAAATCACCAAGTCAATGACTGCCCGGTATTCATAGTGATTGTGCACCCCGTGTGCAGCTGCCCAGGTATTGTTTGCACATGGTCTCCACTTCTGTTCGTGAGATTCTCTTCCTGTTTTGGGCCTGAGGAGGGAATGCTTTCACTTCTCCAGCCTACACCATCTTAACATCATTTATCTTTGCCACTTGCCCCATACTATCTACAGTCCAGTGCTAAAGTGTCTCATCCTTGTACACAAAAAGAAGCTGGAGGGAGTCAGAGTCACAGCTAGGACACGTGTCAAACTTCCACAGGGTGGCACTCTTCCAGAGCATCAGCACCACCCAGCAAAGCATTAGGTGTAAACATGTCATTTGAAAGCCTGAGCACATTTCTTTGCAAATATTCAGCAATTAAGTGATGGCAGCAAATTCTCGAAACCAAGTCTCCTCCCCTACCCAGAGATGTTGTGGAATCTCCATCCTTGGAGGCTTTTAAGACTCAGCTAGACAAAGCCTTGCCTGGGATAATATCATTGGGGATGGCCCTGCTTTGAGCAGGGGGTTGGACTTGATGTGACCTCCTGAGGTCCCTCCCAACCCTCATTTTCTATAATTTTATGAATTCACAAACATAAAAAGCACAAAAGTTTATCATCGACTAGTTCCTGAACAGTGAATGGACCAGTCCTCATGGTCCTAATACAGCTGTCAATACCGACAAGTCCTGCTACACACAAACCAGAGTATCAGCACAGGCCTCTTATGAGCAGAACAAAGTTTAACATCCACGTGGAATGCAAGTACTGGAAAGACACGAGCACCGTCTGACTACCTGGATTTCAGACTCTGAATGCTTCCTTTGCAGGATTCACCCAGCAATAGTGACGTATCTATCGGCAGACACTTGCGTCTGCAAAACTGATACCAGCAATAACGCTACTGTTGCCTGTAGGAAATGAAACTGGAAAGACTGGGCTATTTTAGCTTGTTATTATGGTGGCCTGCCCTCATCTGCCCAGACCTGCCCAGACCTGAATAAAGGGCAACTTGTGGCCAAAAGCTTGTCTAACATCTCTCTCAACTATACAGTTTGTTGAATAAATGATATCACCAATAAAACCTTGTTTCTGGGCCATTATAGTACCATGATAAACAGTCTGAAATATAAGTGTTTCAGAAACATGAGATGTAACTAGGAATGGTGGCACATTTCTGTGTTCATAGGCGTAAAGGATCTTCCTTCAAAGCCCAGAATGGAATGAAGTCTTTACAAAGAAAAGCAAAAGCTTAAGCAAAGACTCAGCAGTGAAATGTTTTGCGAAATTGCAAAATAAGACAATTGTCTGTTCCTGCCATCAACCACATGCCTTTTGGACAAGAGCCAGTTAGTCTCAATAAGCAAACTGGATGTTAGCATTTAAGCTAGAGAGAGGCAAAAAGCCAATGCTGGAAGATCAAAGGGAAAGCAAACTGGAAAACATTCAGAAATTAGCTCTGCTCAGTACGGTGGAACAGTGCCATTGTTTCATGGATAAGCAAATACAAAATGAATGTCTTTCAGTATATATTTTTTGGGGAAAAGAAGAATAAGGTGCAGAAAGTTTTTGGTTCATTTGACTTTTTCTATACAGCAACAACTTTCCTACTAACCAGAGCTCTGAATTTTATTTAATTTTTTATTCAAGTCAAAAATGGTCCTTTTCCATCCTCAGGGAAGTTGAGACTGACAGCACTGCTTACCCACAGGCAGCAGGATACTGTAGCCAAGGCAGCATAATGTACGAACTACATGCAAGCTTCCTCTCAAACTTCTCCAGTGAATGCCCTCTGGTACTAATATTCCTGAGCACCCCTACATTTTATTCCAGTCTTTACCCCATGCAGTTCTGCTTTCACCTGTCCGTTCCAACCTGGACACCTTCTTTCTTCCTAGGAGCAGGTCTCTTCAGAGTGATTTGGGACCTCATTCCTGCTGTTTCTAATTGTGCAATGGTTTGTGATATGCACTCCTGTTAAACCAGTTTTACTTCTGACTTAACAGATTTGAACTGCAGGGTTCAAGAACAGCTTTTGACAAACTGTATTTTCCAACAAGGGTAGTTAGTACGATCACCTGATTTTAGAGGGAGAACAGCTCCTTGTCATACCTGATGTCACTGAACTGAGTGATGAGAGCAGATATTTCCCTCTCCTACAGCAAGGAAATAGACTCCTGCCTCATGAGCATCCACTGGATCAAGCAAAGTGATCGAGGGCCTTCGTGCCATAAACATGTGAACGAAATGACTCAGGGGCCACCTCCAAACCACCAAGTGTAGGACCACCCTCTGTACCAGGTCTGGTAACAGATGAGGGATGGCCACCTCCAGTCACACGGTCAGGAAAGCATGGCCACACCTTCCCTCCCAGATGGCTTGCAGCAGGACCCTGTCTCACCTTAGGGAGGAGTGTTGGACGAGCCAAACTGGCAAGCGAATGCTCCTCCACCACCAGAGCAGTCCTCAGTGCATTCCCACTCCCTCCTTTTTTAAGATTGGGTAAAACAGTCTGACATGATGATCTCAAACACGTGTCACAGGCAGGACCCAGCTGTGTGTCACCCTTTATCTTCAACACAACCAGCATTTCTGTCACAATCCCTTGGACTAGCCAAAAATCAGCATCTGGATGAAAGACAGTTGGCTAGAGCTTAGGCCAAGCAAAACAGTGACGGTGGTGATGGTGGAAAGAAGGGAATGCTTTGGAAATCCTGCAACTTTCCTTTCTGCAGTCTGAGGGTTTCCACAGATCGTTTATTGTGGGATAAATGGGTAGTCACAGTAGCAGAAAGGCTTTCTTCTGTTCAGTCACCCCATTTTAAACACTGACCTGAGCACTGCGCTCCGCAAGCGTTTGACCTCCGACTCTCTATTCCAAGTGATGAGTGCTCTGACATTAAGAAGCTTCTACTCGTTCTGGATACCTTTGATTAATACCAGCCTCCAAAAGTATGTTATCCTAGCACCCTGTTCAGTATATCTGCTCTGGATGCCTGCCAATCATCAGATCAAACCCAAGGTCTGGGTGTGGACAGATGAACAAATTGTACCAGAGTAAAAGGCTAAGGAGGGCAGTTACCAGGCATCAGCTGCTCTGTTCTTCAGTAACTGTTTCATATGTCTATTCTATCTTGTGGCAAAGGGAAGCTAAACTAGGACAGTTCACTTTTGAATGCAACAACTGCTAAATTATGATTGATCAGCTTCCATTTACCATGGGCTAGGATGAATGTGTGAATCAGTTACCACAGAGCAGCTTGTGTGTGGTAAATCCTCTTTAACTTGGTATAACTTACCTGTTCATACCTTCCATAATACAGATTCATTAAAGTGGGGGGAGGTTGTTTTGTTTTGTTTTGTTAATAGCCCTCAATGTTACTGTCTCAATAATTGGAGAAATTAAAATGAAGTAATTAAGAAAAAGGTGGAAAAAGCCCAGGGAGGACGGGGGTGGGGGAAGTCACTTAAAGAAAACCACCATTGATTTTGCAAAATCCCAATTTGTATTTGAAATTTCAAACTGTTAGACTTGAACAGCGTTGCTTTCAGTATTGTTTTCTTTAATTAAAGTCCCCATGGAAACGCTCTGCTAATAATTATTCTGATATGCTTCCAGTTATAATCCAAGTGCAAGGCCTTACCACTGCCACAGCAGCTTCTCTTCACACAGCAGCATGCAGCAAGGGAGCAAGAAACAACTCCCGGAAAAAAAACTTAGCGAGTGGAACAAAAGCAGGCACGAGCATATAGCCACTCCAGGAAGTGTAACTTTGGAAGACAGTGTTGTAGAGATTTGTCTTTACCTTGTGTGAATTTGCTCCCCTCATATATACCATACACTTGCCTTTGTATGGATGCAAACTCCTTCTATTAACGGCCATAGGCTCTTGAAGCTTAATTTCCTGACCTGGATCTCTGTAAATGCAATTCTTCTTCTTCTTTATTGGAAGGTTGAGACAAAATCTCAAAAATGTTTTTAAGCTGCAGGAGAAAAAATAATCATCATCAGGTTTTCTATTTTGAAGAAAAACAATTCTCAGTAGGTAGTCTCCAGGAGAGACCCTCAAGAATGTCTGAAGCCAGGCAAGTACCTGTATTTTGATTTTAACAAGGCTTCACAATGAGTAAGAGGAGACTTTGGAACAAACTACCCAGAAAAGCAGCAAGTTCTCCATCCCTTTATCAAGATGGGATTCCTCATTGGAAGATATGTTTTAAGCCAAACACAAGTTATTTCAGGAGTAACTGGATAAAAAAGCTCTTGAAAAAGCAAGAGGAAACTTCAGGTGCTTGGTGGGAGACTTGTGTTAATTATTACATTGAATAAGTGCTTCAAAGCTCAGATTCATTGCTTCTCTAACACAACCAGCAGCCAGGGAAGGGGGAAATGTGCTGCTGCTTGGCCAAGAGGCAAAAAACAAGAGAGCAGAAATGGCACCGCTTGCCAAAGGATGCTGCCATGCTTTCAGTGGGCCGCAGAAAAGCACAGATTTTTGTTTTAAGTGGAGGTTTTATGCTTTTTTCCCCACAGAAAACTAGGATCCCTGTTGATTACTACCCTTTGAGCCCAATGATCCAGCCAGTTTTCTGTCCATCTGTAGAATCCTTTCATCCAACCTGTACTTCATTAGCTCGCTTGCAAGAATGTTGTGGGAGACCATATCAAAAGCCCTGCTAAAGTCAAATCATATCAAAAGCCTTGCTATATCATGCCCACTGCTGTCCCCACAGCCACAGCACCAGCCATTTTGTCACAGAAGGCAATCAGGTTGGTCAGGCATGACTCGCCCTTGGTGAATCCGTGCTAACTGTTCCTGATCACCTTCTTCTGCAAGTGCTTGAGGCCTGGTTCCATGATGTTTCCAGGGACTGATGTGAGACTGACTAATCTGCAGTTCCCCAGATCCTCCTTCTTCCCTTTCCCCAGATCCTCCTTCTTCCTTCTCTTCTATAGTTGCCCTTTTCCAATCATTCGGGACCTCTCCCAACCACCATGAGTTTTCAAAGAGAACGGCCAGTGGCCCTGCAATTATATCTGTCAGTTCCATGAGCACCCTCAGATGCACTGCATCCAGCCCAATGGACTTGCACACATCCTGCTCTTCTAAATAGTCTCTAACCTGTTCTTTCACTGCTATCGGCTCTTCACCTCTTCCCCAAACTTTGCTGCCATGTGCAATAGTCTGGGAGTTGACCTTGCCTGTGACGACTGAAGTAAAAAACGCATTGAGCACTTCAGCCTTTTACGCATCATCTGTCACTAAGTTGCCCCCCATTCAGTAAGGGATCCACACTTCCCCAGTCTTCCTCTTGTTGCTGAGGAATTGGTCCTTTCATGTCCCTCCAGCAGCTTAGGAACAGTGATATATTTTCAGAATCTCACCTTTTCACACTTTTTAGCACAAGTTTTTGATCTTTCTTATCATTTATAGCCGAGCAATTTTAACTTTCTTGGATAGCAGAACAAAACATGCGGCATCTATCTTGTCTCCTCTAAAACCATTAACAAGTATTTGTGAATTTAAGCTTTGAAACAAATTTTATTCCTGTGAAGCAAAAATGAACAGGTACAGTGAGAGCAATCTGTAAGACAACTGAGATATTTAGGAAATGGGCACTCACCTTCTTGTTGAAGCTGTGAGCATTGAAGTTGTAGATCAACTCTGTAGGTTCATATAATTTACACATTATCACTAATTTTTACTGCATTGCACTGGACTTCAGCCAGCTGTTCTGACATTTAGCAGAAGGGATTTTGGTGAAATCCTATAGTCTAGTGGTTTCTTTTTTCCCCTCCCTAGATACAAAGATAAGAACATTAGCAGGATATCTATAGCCTTTAGAAATCTCTCTAACCTTCAACAATATTCAGTTACAAATCTACCTGAAGGCAGAATATCGCATTCTCATTTGTTTTCCTTTTCCCTTTTTCAGATAACCACCAAGCAATTCTCTTTGGCTCTATATTCGGAGTTCTAGGCTTTCTAATCTTGGCAGTTCTAATTTTCCTGTTGTACAGAAAAAGGAAGAGGTAAGAGTTATTCTAATAAATTATAAGAAGCGACCTTGAAAGGAATTAAATAGGCTGGTGCCATATTTACTTACAAGAGAAAAAGTCTGGAAAGGACTGTTTCTATGCGTGTCCCTCATGAGAAATATCAGGTCTCGTCTATCCAGTTTCTCTTGAAGGACTCTGGATTCCCGACGGAGCATTGGAAGGACGACATCAGAACCAACCAGCACCTGATCAGTGGAAAGGGCAAGGGTATTTAGTCAGAATGTGTGTATATATATTTATTCCATACTTAAAAATGTATAATTTCAAAAATTCAATAATCGATGTGGTAGCTAAACCAAGCTGATAAATTGCAGTGTCACCTAAAAATGCATCACGTGGTTTCATAAGTCATCATGTATCCTTACCCATTGTCTCTCCTTGCTAGCCACAAAGAATTTCTGGACGTGGGGATGGCTGCTTATGAAAAATATTCTTTATTATTTTAAAAGCTATTAAACTCCTTGGTGTTTTCAAAGTAATTTAGACAGGATCCCACTGGCTTCCTGTCTCTGAAATCCCACATGACCTTTTTCATGATGCAAACCAGTCTTCTCTGTAGATAGGTCTCTCTTGCGTAACAGCATTCAAGGGTCCTGTCCACACCGTGTCCCTCCTTCCCTCTCACTGGGTGGGGATGAAGACCTAGTCGCCTCAGCACTCCCAACATTTTCGCTTAGCCAGGGAAGCTCCGGGGGTGAGACAGAAGGCATGGGATTGCAAAGTGACATTATTGCAGGTGACTCCATGGTAGCCATCACTGAGCCCTGCGTTTAAAACAGTCTGTAAAACATTTTTCTGAGAGACACTTATACCTTGCATGAAGTATCAATGCTGGTTTAGGATACTTGTAACACGAAATACATATAGATGTGGCTCGTAACTGCAAAAGGAGGCTAACGAAACTCATGTCCCACTCTGCAGCAGTCTGATCTGTTAACTGCGTAATCTGGCTGCAGAGACACAAATACTTTACCATTTCACAAATACTTTAGAAGAATTTAGAAAGATGTCACTGAGAGCATGCAAGGCCTATGGAACTCTGCGTCTGCCTAGACCTCTGCTCTGTTGGGTTTTGATGTGGGGAGGCAGTATGTTTAGCTGAGAAGCTCTTAACTGGGAAAGCTTATTCAATGATCTGCTCCATCCCCAACATCTCACAAACAACTGTCATCTATAGTATACTCCCCAGTATTTTGGTCAGAATATTTTTAAATGTGTTGAGTGCTGTGTCATACTTTATACATGAGAAAGGAAAAGAAGGCACAGTAACTCGGAAAACCCTGCCAGTGGCCAAATCTCTGATGCTGAGGCAATGAAATGACGCAAAAAGGATCAGATCTCAATGTAAAGTAGGGCCACACAGTTACATGTACATGCCACTACTTGATATGAACATGACAAGAAGCAACTCTTTTAGACATTAATACTGCTAACCTCAAGTGTTTGAAAACCTCGAGTCATGATCTAGGAAATTATGAGGTTAAGAAAAATAATATTTGGGGGTTTTTACTTGCTTTCCTGGTTTTGAACATTTAAGGTATGTATCTGAAAGTTTTTCTCCAGAGGGTTTGCTTTTAACAAAAAGAGACCCCAAAAAACATAAGAGTTGAGAATCTTACTGAACACAAGACCTCAGGAGCTGGGACTTAAAAAAATGTCAGATATCAAAAGATCTGCAATTAAATTGCAAGAGCTGGCTCTCCCACCTGCAAGGCTCTCCACACTGCTCCAGCTCCCAGCCAGACTGTGCCCTGCACCCTTGCATTTCCGGGATGCTCATTATAATTCCCAACAGCTGGCCAGGACCAGCCTTCAAATTCCAGGACTGTTCTGGCTAAAGTAGGATATACAGTCACCCTAATTAAATGTATTCCCACCAACACATTTTCACATACTGAAAGGTTTGGGGGGTTTTTTTCACAAAAAAAGCTAAATATTTTTTAACAGGATCCACTGCTAAGGGCAGAAGTGGTGCCTCCTTGTGGCCACTCTAATCCGGTTCCTTGCACTCTGGTATCCCTAGGTCCCCTCTTCTGCCATGCCTGTGATGTTACTACTGTGCGGTTGCCTACGGGGAACCAGAGGGTGGTCCCAGGCACTCTGTGCTGCCCTTGCCCCTGCTCTGATCCCACCCCTCCGCCCCGTCTTCCAGGGCTCGGACAGCCTGGCCCGCTACTCACCAAGCCTCTACCCTACCTGCCAGCCCTGCAATAAGCCAGGCCTCTCTGTGGGGCATCTTCAGGGCCCTCCTTTCCCCCCCTTCAACTATTCCCATGGCTTGCAGCCTACACAGCACATATCAAGTCAAACACATGCAATCAGCTGCAGCTGGGGTGCCTTTCTCTCCCGCAGGCTTCTCCCACTTTGGGCCTTCCTGGGCCTACTCACAGTTCCCTCCTGGGTCTTTGGTCCTGCTCCTGTTTCATGCACAGAAAGCTCCTTCCATTAGTGCAGTCAGGTTCTGTCTCCACTTATCCTCAGTGCTTTACAGAGCTCCCCGCTCCAGCTCTGCGGTGGTCAGATTGCCCTCCCTGCCTCAGGTGCACAGAGGTAGGGGCACCTCAGCAGGCCCTGATCTAAGGACTGAGCTGCCAGCTGTCCATTATCTGGGGCTCTGCCGCTTCCTGCCCCTACTGCCCAGCACTTCTCTCAGCGACAGCGCTTGGCCCACGCACGCAGCAGTCTGCAAATCTCTAAATTCGTACAAGATTCATAGTTTGCTGAAATGGGAAGGAAGTAACAGTTCCTCAATACACTTCTTCTGAATGATCTGCTCAGCAGGTAACACACCACCAAGGGAAGGCTGTCTCTCCCAAGAGGAGATATGTTTTGAAACCATCCAGAGTTGGCTGTCCTACAACTGACACAGAGCCAGCCATTTGCATCAGCCTCGACCCCCTTAGCACAGTGCTTCACCATGAGCTTTTGGATGCTCTGTAGCCGTTTCCATCTCTCTCTTTGCTTTTGCAGAGCGAACCGGAGCCCAAATGCCCCCGAATCAGTTCCAGGCGAGAAAGAACTGATGCCCGTCAGAGGGACGCATTTGTGAGCAGCGCAGCCGGGAGTGGGAGGCCACGAGCCGCCGCCGCCTGGAACAGGTGTACCCGGCCGCTTCGGGCCTCTGCCTTCCTGCCCCGCCGCGGCCTGCGCAACCAGGCTGAAGCTGCTTCCCGAGTCCCGGTCCCCGATTCCTTTTTCACAGCTAGTCTTTAGCCAGTGAACGGCTGCTAGCAATGACAGATGTGGGAAGAGCCCGAGGTGCACCCGAACGGCGTTTCCTGACTCGCCTGGAGCAGGGCCTGGCCCGGACCCCGAGCGCGGCCCCAGCGGGCCAG